GCATCCCTATTCTGAAACAAAATAACAGTGAAAATGAGGAGACGACCGATTGATTGGCCGACTAATCGATCTACCCTGCTTTCCTTAATGCTGGAAGATCAGAGATCGGCCGATGCTTGGACGTGAAAACGGTCTTATCTACTAATCATATCTAACTCTGCAAAGGTTTCTTTATCCGTTACTGTCTAAACGTTTTATTTCTATTTAAGAGCATTGTCTCTCACAGTTAAAATAAGTTTTTTTTATGGTTTTAAGGGTATTCTTTAAGGTTTTTCATTAAAATATACATATGAATGTGTTTAATGATCTGCAACTGAAAATGTCAAATAATAAAAATGGTGGAAACCAAGTTAGAATCACCTGCTTTAAAGTTGCCCTCGTTGACAAGGCAAAAGATTTCTGAAGAATATATATTCAGACCAAAATAGAGTGAACTTTGCTCCATTGTTGTTGCAACAAAAAAACATGTTTTGTAAATTGAAATTTTAAAAGAAAAAAAAAATATTTCTGGAAATGTACGTAAAAAAAAAAACGATTCAATCAAAAGAACTTAGATTAACTTTGCTGATTTCTCAGATTTAGTTTCTTCAAATATTTTTAAAAAAATGTATTTTTCACACTTTGATTTTTTTTCTCAAAAATAAATTAAACAAACGTATTTTCTATGTTTTTTCAAACCTCTTTTATATTGAGTTTCAGGAATTGAAATTTCTTTCAAATTGCATTTTACAGATTACATCCTTTTGAAATCTGAAAGAAGTGAAATATAAATATATATATATATATAAATATATATATATATATATATTTTTTTTTTTTTAAAAGACATTTGAAAATATGCAATCTCTAAAAAATGTTTAAGAAAAGTTAATTGCATAATAAAATATGAACAACGTATTTTTTTTAAAGTTTTTCTTTTTATAAAATGTTTTTCAAAGAATTATTTATGGTTTCCCTGCCTGCAGTAATAATGGAGTAAAATCAACTCCATAAAAGATGAAGACTCAACTGCTGAGTCAAAATGATAAGGATGTTTTAAGGAGTTAAGGTGAGTCTTTCAAGTCCTGATGCGTCATGCTGTGGGCTGGTTTTCTGCCAGTGACATCGAATGCATGTCAGTAAATTAAATAAATTCCTCAGCTCCACACATCAACCAATAGAGGGATGAAACCTGGACACAGTGGGTTACCATGGGTTCTGATCGGTTCAAGAAAAACACAGTGTGAGGAGTTGTGCTTTCAGAGCCACAGCCTCACCCTCGTGTCTCTGCAGGTCCTCCTCGTTCACCGAGTCTTTCAGGGGCCTGTTGGAGAGGAGGTTCTTGTTCTCCTCCTGCAGCTGAGCGATCTGGGACAGAAGATCCTGGGCCTCTCCCCGCCACACATCCTCCACCCGCTCCAACTCCTGTTCACAGATTTATAACAATTATCAAACCTTTTGTTTGTTCCCAATAAACCAACCAGGACTCTTTCTCTTTAAGGGAACAACATGAACTCATAAGGAATGAATTTTATTGCTTGATAGTGTGAACAAGCTGCCTTGTTCCCTTCCACTGGGCTAAAAATACTAATGATGCAGCTTGAAGAAACAGGAACTCCATAGAGTCACTGGCCACTCCAGCCTCTGAGTCAGAACTTTGAAATTATACGTTTAAAAGGTCTGATTCAGAGCCACGGTCTGCACTACACCTGATTCAGCTATCAGACCCAAGTTATATTCAGCTTTCCATTATAACCTTTCAATGCTTCAAAGGCATTACTGAGCATAGAGGACAATGCGCTGCCCCTCCCCATCTTGTTGCTAAACACTGCTTATAAGCTGGCTTTGCAATCATGAGCAAAAAACAACAGATTTACAGGTTAGGAACTAAAGGAGCATAATAATCCACCCTGTAAAACAGCATCCATGTATGAGCAGCCTGTCCGCTCAGATTAGGGCTGAAACAATCAGATTAATCAATTACTGAAATAATCATCAACTAATTTAGTTATAGATTCATTGAAAAAGTGAGGATAGAGACACTAAACTTGTCTTTAACTGAAAGAGTGAACCATCTTGAGCAACAAGATACCAAAGTTGTAAAAAAAATATATAAACATTCCGCATTTAAGCAGAACTATATATAAAATATGAGTGGAAATAAGCTTATATTTGAGCAACAAAGTGTTTAGATCAAACACTTTGTTGCTTTGTTTCATTTTTACAGACCCTGAATAGGACAGAAGAGTCTCTGAGCTTTGCAAGTCCACCGACCCCCTTTAAAGCTGGGCGTACACTGTATGAGTTTTTGCCCTTTTGAGCCGATTCTCCAGTTGTGGGAGATTTTTTTTGGTCGGGCGAGTTTCAGCCTCATTCTGCGTGGTGTACTACACAGGGGGCGATCAGCCTCTCACGACCACCTCCCGATCAGGAAAGGTCGGGAAAAAATCAGACATGATTGAAATGTAGCCGACCCTAGTGAGGTGTTTGTGAGCGAATCCTGCTGCTGAAGCAGAGCTATGAGCTGATTTTCCTGAACGTCGCACACCGCTCATTGCAAACAAGGGAATTCTTAGACTTACGGTACGTTCAGACCACAGGCAGCAGGAGCAGCAAAAACGTGTGTGTTGCTTCATTTTTGATGCTTCTACGAGTTTAGTTCTGACGCACAACTGAAGCAGCTTTGCTGTAGAAAAGTGGGTCTGATGCGTGTTGGGAGGAGCTACCCTATCCTTTCTATGCCTGTAGCAATGGCAGCTATATTTGCTGTGATCAGTGGCTAAAAAAATCCACCTGAAAACTTCATCTGTGCAGTCAGTTCATCCAGATTATCATCCTGCCTTCAAATATTATCTTGCAGTTTGAGCCGCTCAGACCCCCACATACCAACGGTGCGCTGTCAGTATGAATTCCATTCAACAGCAGCCTATGGCCTGTTCGCCTCCTCGCGGTTTGCCGCGGCGGCTGGAAGGTGTTTTTCACGTACGTAATCCAAACTTCAGGCACCAGGATAATAAAAGCGAACATTATTTTCTGGCAGGTTTTGACATTTTAAGTTAATTTAGGTGTTAATAAACAGTTTCAAAGGAGTGATCATAGCGCTCTGCATCATCAGTGCTGTGTCTGTCTCCATGCCAGCTCCCAGATAATCTTCTCTGATTGGTTGATGAGGCGCGTCGAGCAGCAATTTTCCTGTTTTTCCAACTCCAGCAGCTGCTGTTTTTGCTGCTTTTTTCTATGCGTCAAATGCTCAGAAGCCCCTGACGCGCTGCTCCTGCTGCGCAAAAGGCACTGCATGACCTTTTGCTGCACCTTGATGCACGTCAACCATTGATTTTGCATGTAAACCAGCTGCTTCTGCTGCCTCTGCTGCTTTAGGTGTGAACATTGCATAAAGGCCAATTTATGCTTCCGACGCATAGCCTCTGCAACCATCAAATCTGTCTCTGCAGAGGTTCTGCATCCGTCGTCAGTCACGCACTTCAAACAAATACTAACTACAAGTTTGCCGCGCAGACCTCAACCGGAAGTGCGCAGACAAAAAGCAGCTGTGATTGGTCCTTAGTATGCCTTTCCAGCTGTCTGTGTGGTCGTCCTCGATTCGGTGCAGGGGTGCGTCATTTTTAAAAACAGAGGAACTATAATATTTAAATGAGGATATTACATTTTCCAATTAGATTTTTTAAACAAATTTGCTTCGCTGGAGCAGAATGCCAGTAAAGGTGTCTGTGGTTGCTCAGCTCTAAAGCTGCTTCTCTGTTCACATGATCCGTTCTCACATTTTTAACCATTTATGAATATTTTATGACATTAAAAGAGGGGATAAATCTACCAATAAAATCTATCCTTCCATACCTTTCCCAGATTCATCCAATGAGGGCATGTGGAAAATCTGCCGGCTCAGTCTCTCACACACGCCTCAGATGGAGCGTCTACTTCTTCATAGTCATGGGACTCGGTTAATCAGTCAACCACCGTCATGGGAAACTGACCCCTGAGCTAATTTAAAACAGACTGACTGCTACCTCCAAATAAAACCAATCATTACAATAAGCTGCAGCAGGAGGAGAAGTAGAACGTTTATAATATTCACATACAGACATTTTTTTTGTATGCAGTTTTCAACTTAATGGGTGTTTAAGAAAACTACCTCAGTTTCGTATTTTGTCCAACATCTCTTTCCGTACATTAAAAGCACAAACATGTATTTCAGAAGCATTTAATGCAGCAGGAAAAGAACATAGTTGTTTAAAAACGGCTAGACCTTTTTTGTTTTTTTTTCTGGTAAAAATCTGAAAAGTGTGGCTTGCGTTTGTTTTTCTTTGTAAAGATTTCAAATTGCAAAAGATGATTTTCCAACTAGTTCACAATTAGATGTGTTGTTCTGTCACATAAAAACCCTAATGAGTAGGTTTAACGACCATTTGTACTTAAAGAAGAAAAAAGGAATGGATCATGAATACTTTGCCGAAGCGCCATTGATTAATTTTTAAAGCTCTTTGATATTTGATCCAGAAAATCTGGTAAGGCAACCTAGAATTTAAATATAATCTACTCAGGATATTTTGTGGTGCTATCCTAAAAAAGACAAAAATAACAATAAAAAACGAAAACATCTTACATCTTTGAGGTCTTCTTTTTGGTTCAATCGACAGCAATCATGGAACCTTAATCACAATTACTACTCTTGGAAAACAAATCTAAAACAGGCCTCTTCAGGACTCCAGTTACATAAAGAAATAGGTTTTATGTCACTAAAAATCCCAAAGTAACCGTATTTAATTATGTACCGGTAATGTATACAAAGCCCCAATTAAAAGAAAAAAAAGGAAAATTCACCCTTTTTTCAGATTTTAAACATAATGAATTCTGATTTACTTTTCAGACAATAAATCGTGATTCTTTTAATGGCTAAATACACATCAGCTTCTATGTATTTTTGGATATGCAACTTTAGCTACATGTTTGCTTTTTTTCCTGTAGCACAGATGGTTCCTGTTAAAAGGGAGTTTTTCCTCTCCACTGTCGCTACAAGCATCCTTAGTGTGAGGGATTGCATTTGAGTCAATGAGTCGATGCAATCAACTGGTTTTCCTTTGCAATCAACTGCCAATACTGCACAGCCAGGTTTTAAGTATCGGGGCCAAAAAATGGCATCGGAGCAACACTACGGTAGTTTAAAATCTTTTAAATAGAGGATGAGAAAATATCAGCCAAAAGAATCATCCAAATACATAAAAAAAAATTGTCAGCACAGACTCCAAGACACTTATATCGGTCAATATCTGGTCTGTAAAACAAACTTAATATCTTAAAATTGGTAGCACACATTCTGGAGCAAAACATCTATTAAAACCAAACTGTTCAACTTAAATTAATAAAGAAAAATAAAAAGTTATCAGTAAGTTTCCTCTTTAGTTCTGCTGACAGTCTGGCTGGATATCAGAGTATTAACTAAAAATATCCAATTTAAATCATTGCATGTTTACGGAAGAGGATAAGGGCCAATGAAAAAAATTTCAAAAAGTTATCTGATTTTAAATATTATTTCTGTTTAATATGGGGGAAAAGTCAGAATTCTGACTTTAATCTCAGAATTCTGACTTTAATCTCAGAATTGTGGATCTTAATGTAGATGGGCACCATGAAGGAAGAGATGTGGGAGCACTCAGCTTTACTGAAAAAGATGCAAGTTGTTTGGGAGGGCCAGTAACACATTGGTTGGAAATGATGGAATTAGGAGACTTTTAACATTCGCGAGGGGTTCCCGGTGATACCATTTCATTAATGGAAGAGCAGAAGGTGATTAAAGCAAGAGAGCTAGTCTCTAAAACAGGCATGGCTACAGCTTGAATTCTTATATAATTGCATGTTTGCTAGCTGTAAGAATTCAGACAGAATTCTGAGATTAAAGTCAGAATTCTGAGAAAAAAAGTCAGAATTCTGAGAAAAAAAGTCAGAATTCTGAGATTAAAGTCAGAATTCTGAGAAAAAAAGTCAGAATTCTGAAATTAAAGTGAGAATGCTGAGATTAAATTCACCATTGTGAGAAAAAAGCCAGAATTCTGAGATTATAGTGAGAATTCTGAGATTAAAGTGATAAATCTGAGATTGAATTCAGAATTTTGAGGAAAAGAGTCAGAATTGTGAGACAAAAGTCAGAATTCTGAGATTAAATTGAGAATGCTGAGATAAAAGTGATACATCTGAGATTAAAGTGATAAATCTGAGATTAAAGTGAGAATCGTGAGAAAAAATTCATTATTCTGACATTAAAGTGAGAATGCTGATTTTAAAGTCAGAATTGTGAGGAAAAAAGTCAGAATTCTGAGATTTAGGTCATTATTCTTACTTGTTTTGTCATATTATATTGCAATAAAATTCAAAATCAGTTTTTTTTTTTATTTTCAGTGGCCCTAATCCTTTTCCGTAAATGTTTGATATAACTTTGAAATCTATTTTTTAAAGATATTTTCGAACTTTATAATAGTTTTACTAATAGAGATGAGGTTAATTATATTTCCCCATGTTTCCTTGGAGCTCATGATCAGACCTGTCTGTGCTTCTTCTCCTTCTCCAGCCGGTCTATCCGCTCCAGCCGCAGCCTGTCCAGCTCCAGCCGCAGCTCGTCGATGTCCGGGCTCATGCTGCTGCGGCTCACCATCACCTCCAGGATCTCCAGCACCCGCACCACTTTGGGCATCAGCCTGGACAGAGCCTCGCAGCCATACTGGTCTATGATCCGCTCGAACTCCTGCCCCACCACCGCGGCGATGTCGTAGACGTCCATCACGGTGAGGTCTGCGACGTTCTTCTCCAGAGCCGAGCCGAAGTCCTCCATCATGACGGGATGTTTTCTGGCCCTCCCGCTTCCTTCGCCACAACAAACTTCCTTCCCCGGCACTAACAAGTCAGGCAACTTCCACTCCACCGATTTAACTTCACAACCGGTACCGAAATAAACCATACAGGAACTTAAAGCGCTAAAACTACCGATTATTCAACGCTTGATGCTGAGTCAGCGCTTTAAATCGATTCGTTTGGGATAAAATTCGGAAACGTCCCATTTCTATCCCGGGCCGGAGCGGATGTCCTCTGGAAGCTAGCGGGTACCGCTGTCCATTGGGACCGGAAGAGACCGGCACAACTTCCGGTCACGGGATTAACAAAATAAAACAGGAAAATTGAAAAATTTTTTGGTTTTATTTGATCTTTTTATTTATGTTATTGCCCTTAACTGCATATACTATAAATGTGGAAAAACTAACTATTTAGAGACAACAGTTAACCCAATAGTCATATTCTTTGAGTGTGGGAAGAAGCTTGAGTTCCCATGGAGAACTCACACATGCACTGGCAAAACATGCAAACTCCTTGCAGAAAGATCATAGGCGGGGAATCGAACCCAAGTCCTTGAGGGCATGTTCTTACAGACAGGTTGATGACCTCAGCCCTCTGGGAGAGGCTCGAAGTGGAGCCCATTTCCTCCACATTCAGATGATTCAGTTACGGTGGCTTGGACATCTATTCCAGATGCCCCCTGAACGACCCACCAGCAGAAATAACATGAACTACTGTAGGAACTAGGGGCCACAGTTGGATTTATTTGGCTTTAGCTTAAAACTGAAGAGTGTCATGACCTAGGCACTGATGACTAGGCACTGGTCTCAGACCTAGAGTTAAGCAGTCATCCAGACAATTATGTTCTTATAGAACCTAAAAAAAACTGCTAAACAATAAAGAGACCTCAGTGATGGAAACAGGGACTAAATCCTGTATGTCTGTAAGAAGTGGAGCCTGTATGCCTCCTAAGCATTAGGGATCTCAAGAGGTCCTTTACTGAAGCTACAAGGACTGCTACAATCCTTTGTATGATATGACGTATAACCATAAAACTATTCACGGAAATGGGCAAAAATACAATATTTTTCATGTGTATTGTGTTGAAACATACAAACATATGCTTCTTCATTTGTTTGGGTTGTATATTGGAGAGCTTCTGCCTCTCCCATTTGTGTAACTTGAGTTTTTTTGTATTTCTTTTAAAAGAAGGCTTTAAACTTGCGTTTTAACCAGCATCATGCATGTGCATTTCTGTTGTGTATTAACACCCAGGAAGCTAAAGGTTCATAGGCTCTTTTCTTATCCACCATAATGTCCTTACTGTTGACTTCATGTAATGTGAGGGAACAGGAACTGGGGGCCACAATTGGATGTATTTGGATTTAACTTAAAACTGAAGAGTGTCATGACCTTGGCACTGATGACTGGATTTGGCTCATTTCTTCCACCTGCTTAGCTCCATCCTGCGCTCATTGTTACTCATTTGATCCACCTGTTCCTGTAGCCCATTTAAACTTCCTGTTTCCAGCCATCAGCGCCAGTTTATTTGAGCCATGTGTGAGAGTAGTTTAGCGTACCTGTGTGTTTGTGATTACCTGATCCTGACAAGTTTCTGCCTATGGACTTGTTTGCCACTGTTCTGCTCTGTTTGCCTGATCTGTCTTTCCACTGTTTCCTGGATTCTGCCTGCTTATGACCTTGGATATGTCTCCTGACCCCGGCATGGATATTCCTTCAGTACCTGTCTTGCTCTCTGATTCGCTGGCCTGGAAACCTGCTCTGCATCGACTCTTGCCCCATTTAAACTACCCTCTGAAAACCGATCTGTGCTGAGCTCAGTTCCTTAAGACCATTTACACACCATGCTAGCATGTGATGATCTACGGTACTACTGCTCTCTAGAAGTTAACAAGCAAACAGACATGGCAGCACCTGTAACATTTAGGAAGTTTGCGGAGTCAGTCAAAAAAAGCAGCCTTTGGTGAATTTGTTTGACAGAGTCAGCTTTTGGGAAGTGGATACGACAAACGATAGTCTAACCAGGGCTTACAGACACAGGAAACAATGAGAGGAGTTGAGGTTCATCACACTGCTAAGCAGATTCATCACTGAAAATTGTGTGGCAAGGTAGGGAAACTAGTATTTTTATGAATGTCTGAAATTTCATGATTACGGAGGCTGACTGTAAGGAGATGACGCAGTCTGCTCATGCGCTCTTTGTTATCGGAGAACCGAGCCACAACTGAACCGCGCCAAGCCCTACTGATGAACTAGTACCATGTTAGCACGGTTTGGTTGTGTCTGGCACGGTCTGATTCAGTTTTACGTTCCATTTACACTCAACAGTTATTTTGGTTACCGTGCTCGGACCAATCTCGGCATGGTTTCAAAAGGGTTGTGTAAATGGGGCTTCTGTCTTTGGATTCTCCTTCCGGATGCTTCTGCTCTTTTGCATCGGCTGGCTTCTGCTCTTCAGTCTGCTCTGTTTCTCGCCTGGAGCTCTAGGGGCGACTCCCGCCTCATGCTGAGGAGAAGCAATCCTTCAGGATCCCACTCCTTCCTCTTGGCTCAGACTGAACTCATAATCAGGTCAGTGACTCGTATGCTAATGATCATTTCCCATCTGAGTTTCGTAGTCATTAACCTGAGTATCCACCTCCACAGAGTATCCAGTGATCCTGCCCCAGCTGACGAGAAACTGTACAAAAGAAAGTCAACAAAGCCTTGCTGTGAAAACACTCTGATCTGTCTGCTTGAATTCTGGGTCCTATGTTCTGAGTTTCTGACAAAGAGTCGATTAACTAATGAGGAAGGGGCACCACATAGGAGAATACTTACACCATTCCTTTTTAATAATTAAATTTATAACAGAAATGGAAATATTGTGACAAGATTTGATAAGCTTTTTAAATGTTTTACTTTCCATGCTTTCATGAAATGTGTATCTTATGCCGTTTCTCAGTTCACAAGAATGAGAGTATGGACTCGTGTCCTGGCCAAATATGTTCTTGAGAAGGCCTGATGTGTTTGTGTATATGTTCGTTTACATGTATGTATGGAGACGTATATATTTACATATATATGTGTGTGTGTATATATATATATACATATATATATATAAGGTTACTCTACTTTGAGTTAATTTAAGTGCAATTAGAGGGAGAGGGGGTATGAAAAATAAGTTTTACTTCTTCTTAACCCTTTTCAGACAATTTCCATTAATCAATGCCATTTCTCTGGCTGTATATACCAACAGGTTTATGTGCTAAACGGTTTTGTTTCTATTTATGTTCAGGTGAATTATAGTTAGATTGGAAAATGGTGTTTGGTTGATGTTATCTTTTTTTCTTTTGTGTGTATTTGGATGATTTATTTCTTGTTATTTGTCAAAATTGTCTGAAATAAATTCCTTTCATTCATTCAACATAAAGTGTCTTCAGTCAGAGGTGCAAGACAGACTGATACAGAAGATCCTTCCTGCCTACAGCTATCAACACCTACAAGAAGTTACTATAACATTTCATTTCCCTTTGGGATTAATTATTTTTGAACTGAATTGCAGCTTCTCATCACAAGAGGGAGATGTTGCATCACTAACCATCTTCTTCACTGGCATTTAATCATGGTACAATACAGCTCAAGTGGGAATAGGGGAGGACAGATGTAAAATCTGAAATCAACCTATATTCTGATAGTATAGAACTTGATGCACACATTTAAGACTATCATAGTGTTTGGAAAATTAAAGAATATACTACTATTTTGGGGTAATGTACTGGGGATGCTAATGTTTGAATCAAAACTATCCCCTTGGAATATAGAGGAATTAATGAATCATGTTTTCATGATTATAAAGAATAAAAATACAAAGATTTGGCAATACTTTGCAATTTTTGATGCTGGACTCCTGGTTCCTTTTGCACTGCTGTTGTTCTCTATCATGCTTCAGTACTTTCTTATAATCATTTATGATCATGGGAACAGTTAGATTTCTGGTCTCCTTGTCCTTAGCACACCTACCCAACAACTGGGTCGTTTGTTTTTTGTAATTCATTTTATGTTAATTATTTATTTTTTGTCATTGTCCAGACTTTTTTGTCATTTCATAATAATAAATGGTAAATTTATGTTGTGTCTAACTAAAGGCTTTATAGCCTTATAAATTTGTCTTAAACCTCTTCCTAAACTCTTTCTCAAACTATGTTTTTTTATCGTTATTTATGCATATGTAAACATTTGTTCTTTTGTCAGGTAATGTGTGACACATACATAAACACACACACACGTATATATATATATATA